CCTGGCTCCTGGGTTTGTAGGGACACTGTCTGCTCTGTGGTACAGAGTCCTGATCAGTCCTAACTTGTGTTCCAGTGGGTGGTGGGAGTCAAAACGCAAATATTGGTCTGTGTGGACATAAAAGCCTGAATTTGCCTGAAACTCTCAGACTGAAGAAGTCTCCTGGAGGAGAGACGAAACGTTTCATTAAAGAAGAACCCGTCCAGAGGACCTATACAATTTTTTTTCTTTGATTTTTTACCTGGATTACTGAGATGCATCAGGATACAACTTGTACAGTTTAAAGTTATAAACAGAGTCCACTTTTCAAAATCTCATTCATCTAGAATCTTCCATTCAATCATAGTTTAGCAGTTAAGGGGCAGTTAAGGGGTTAATAAATATCTTGAAGAATTGTGTAACAGAAGTCAGACCTCACCTTACATCTTAAGTCATATGTTTTCCTTCTGCCCAAGCTTGCACAAATTCAGGAGTGATTTCTTCTCTGAACTCTCAAGGGTTTTTAAGACCCAGATTCAAAGTGATTCACTAATTGCCATTTTTTGAGTTCCAATGACCACCCTTAACCTGTCCCCCCAGCAAAATGAGACTTTCTGTTCTCTTCTCGCTAGACGGTGTCTTTTAGTCCACTGGAAATCTCCTATACCTCCATCTACATTACAATGGCTTAACACTGTAAGAACATTTTTGAGGACAGAAAAAATTTCATCAACAGTAAAGGGTAGTTCAGCAAAACTTACACACAAGTTGACACCCTTTTTGGAGTATGTAAAATCTTTGCCCTTATAATGTGTATCATGATGTAAGTAACCCACCATATGAATAAGTTAAAAAACTGTTAGACACCCCCACCCCTCTTTTTATTATTATTTTTATTTCTATTTTATTTATTTACTTTATTATATATAACCTTTTAGTTTTTTTTTTATCTTTTCTATTTTCATGTTTGTATGGTGTGTTTATGTTTATTAGAAAAAAATAGGAGATGCCATGTAAGTTTTGCGAAATGTATGCAGTGTAAATAATTGCATAATTTCCTAAAAAAAGTAAGATTATAATTTCTCAAATCTTCTGTCCACTTCAGCATGTCTGACCTGTGGGGTTCATCAGGGTTCTATCCTCGGATCTCTCCTGTTTATTGAACCTACTCCCTTTAGGGTTTATTCTGAGAAAACATGACATGTCATTGTTCTCTTGATGATTGCTACATGTTGAAGCTAAATATCTCTTGCTCCCTCCACCCTCTACTAAAATGGCCTGACAGCTCCGAGGCTCGGACAGCTTCAAATACTGAAGCTTTAATCAGAAGAAAATTGAGGACAGACCCCTCCTGTCAGCCCTGGAACTCATGAATATGGGGTAGTTTTAGATCTGGGTTTTAGATTTAATAATTTAGCTGTGACATTCCACAGGGTCCAGTTAAGGGATTAATAAATATCTTGAAGATATGTGATTTAGCAGTTATTCTTTTATTGAACTGCTCTTAATAAACTCACCTTCATCCCCTGCCAAAGGGCTCTTGTGGATGGAGTCACAGTCTGAGCGACATGGTGACACAGGCGGCAGGTTGGGGGCCACGCTGCACACCACCACCCCTCTTCTGGTGGTCCCAGTGAGGATCCTGGGGGATTCAGGGTGAAAAGTGCTCATCTCTGTGTGTTCTACAACGTGACCATCGGACAGCTTCTCCAGCTTGGACAGTGGTTCTCCTTGGAAACAAGGGGTGTATGCCATGGGTCTGACAGGAACCTGTGGGGGTCCCATGACACTGACCCCTCCCACCATAGAAGGGTCTAAACCCATTTCTGAGTACAGACTGAGAGGGTCTCCTGGTCCACAGTGCAGAGTCTTAAACTGAACACAGCTGGCCTTGTTGAGAAGAGCTGCAGTGGCCGGGTCCTGGACCAGAGATAGGTTGCTCCGAGAATAGTTCTTCTGGAACACTTTCTTACGGAAAGCTATGAAAAGGATGATGAGGACAATGATGACAAAAAAGACCCCCGTGATGCCAATCAGCTCCTCTTTGCCCACCACGGCATGCCCGGCCTGCATGTCGGGAACAACAACCGCCCGCAGGCTGCAGCGCTGGCCCACAAAGCCCGGGGTGCAGTTACAGTAGAAGGAGCCAGGAGTGTTGACACAAGAGCCTCCGTTCTCACACTGACCCTCAGGATTACTGCGCTCACATTCGTTCACATCTTCTTCACAGCTGCAGGTGGAAGCACACAGGGAGAGGTTATCACATGATGCCGTCTCCAACATGTAGCAGAATTAAACCTTTACTTTGAAATGACATCCTTCAGGATCTGTTCGCTTTTATTACTTTTTGACAATTCTTTGTGTCTAAGATCAGGTCTAGTTTACTTTGTGTTCACAGTGTTTTACTGTCTGTGTTTGAGGGGTTCTCTGTTGGAGATCTGTCAGCTCTCTGCTCACAGTAAACCCTTCTTATCTGTACATCAGAATATACTTCAGTTTGTGACACTGGAAAGTCCCAGTAGTCTTTTTGGTTGTTATTGTGCTCGTTAAGTGAAGTAGATTCCATCCAGCAGTGTCAGAGTTGAACTCACATCAGACCCTTGAAGCCTCTCCTGCAGCTGCAGAGGAAGGCGTTTCCAATGGGTTTACACACTCCACTGTTCTGACACGGGTTAGGAACACACACCGTTATCTCCATTTCACAGCTGCCACCTGTGTACTGAGGATTACAGCTGCACGTGAACCCTGACACACACAGACAGACACACACACACACACACACACACACAC